ATGTGAGAAACATTGTTAATTGAGTGAGTGAACCACATAACTATCGAGTCGATATAATAAAGTACTATTCCCACCAATTCAATGTTGGAGGAAGTGAGAAACAATATACCTTAGCGAAAGGTGTCTGCATGCGATTAGCAATGGCCGTGACCTTTTCAAAAACTGAAGAGCAGATAATTTTAGTTTACACGCAAGATGGGAATGTTTTCCCTTTGCATATTATACCTTTGCCGTAGAGTCTGCCATGCCCAATGTATTCAATGTTGTAACATCCAGTGCTCCACGTATATTTCTCTCCGCTCACATTCGTGTCTGTGATCTTGTCTTAGTTTATCATTAAGATAATCTACAATTAAATACAAGTTAACGTGCAAAATCAAGTTTCTTTCTCATTCTTAAATTTATAATTGAGTATGCATTTTAAATATATATATAAGTATTCATCAATCAGGTATATATACATGCTGAGGCATTTGAAATTTATGTGACAAAAGAATTTCACATTTTGAAAAAATATTTATCAACGCAATAGGGTTAAATAATTATAATACTGTGAATACTGAATAAGTACTTAACAACTGCTCTCTCTCGCAATATTATTTAATATTCGTATTTCCCGGTCATGCATTCCCCACAACACTTCTGTAGCCATATCACATTTCCTTACAGTAAGAAAACCAATACTTCTTGGATATATTTGGGATTTTACCTCCACAAAATATCTCGAACAGATGCGTATTAAACAATGTCTCATTGACAACCATTTGCAGATCATACATTTAAGTGCTGCATCATAAGGAATTATTACTTATATTCTAATTTTCATAATTATCATGTCACTAAATCAAGATAAAAATTTATTAATGCACTTATTCATGTTTCATATAACATGGGTAGGTATTTCTGAGGTTGCAATATCACATTGTCAGTTCCTAAATCACAACAGTTTGAATGTAGAAAAATGTACGCGATCTTTCTGTAATCGTTTCCTTCAAATATTTGTGGGCTTGGTTTTTTCATGAAACTCTACAAGGTACGATTGAGAGAGGTAAGTGTTGTGTGCCGTGTCCACTTGCAGTTTGCTGTGCATGCTATGTGTGCTTGCAGACAACTGTAGACAGAGTCGAGTTTAAGAACATCGTACTTCCACCTCAAGATCGCGATCATAAATCCATTCCGTCGCGCTAAGATCGGCTTTGTGCAAATGGGTCAGGGCAATTGTATGATGATTGTAAAGTTGATTGTTTGGGCCTAAGATTGATTGTAACTGAGATTGCTCTGTGCAAGTGGGCCCTTGTGTTTTAGGCAGAGAGGCCTACAGACAATCAAGTAACAAAATTAATGACAAATAAGTTTGGTAAACTTAAAACTTGGTGAACTTGAAATTCAACCAGGTGAATCAGTGATGTATAAAATAAAAATGGTTGCACTTTATTGAAACAATTCATTATTTACAAGGGCATACTGTTATCATAACTTTCACAAATTCCCAACAATGCATCCAAAATGTAATTACAATATATCTGATATATCTGTTAACAATACCAAAATATTTGATATTATTCAAACCTCATATATGTATATGCAAACTATATCATTTGGCTTCAGTGCATCTTTAACATTAAAGCAACTCTAAACTATTGTCTCACAGCGTGAATGAGCCCAAATGGCCACATAATGATAAGGAATGATGTCTCCACTCTCATTTTCACTTGTGCTGTGATATTAACAGATGATGGTAAACAGATACAATGTGATCAAGTATATAGACTAATCAAAGACCATTTGTGCAAGAAAATTAAACATGAATCTACATGTCAAGAATACAAAGCCAATACTAAAAGTAGACTTATCTTCGATTGGGAATCATTACCTTGAGAGGATTTGGTTTACATCTATATAAATCAACATAAACAACACATGAAACTATGGAATGTAAAAGTTGCATATATCTTGGACGGTTTAAATATTTCACACTGGTCATATCCATCTGGGTCTTATACCAAATTCAACATTTATTCAGCGGTACATTCCAGTGATACAATTTTAACCAATAATAAAATATAGATGTTTTTTAAAAGATCAGTATAAGCAAAAAAGCAACATGGTGATTGACAGACTGAAGGCATTAAAATCGATAATAAAAAGCCGAACATGTACCAAAATATTTCATAGTTTAACAAACCTATGTAACACTTCGTAGTTTCTTCGTACCAAGTAGTAGTCTCTTGCAGTGTAGTCAACACATTCCGCTGAAATAAACTGTTGCACAATGAGATTAATTCAGAAATTTATCACAGTAGTGTCCAACATGAATCTTTCTCCAGTACACTTTCATGGAAAGGTAGGACCACCAAATCAGGTTCAGGTACCACAATGTCCCCAAGAACACCCAATGTGTCAAAGTCAGAATCATTAAGACTGTTATCCTACAATGTTGACAAGAAACAAATCTTGACTCATCTTTGAGGGCAGTACACAGACAAAAATGTTCTGTACTGTAGATTCAACTCTGGAATGTTGATGGTTGTGTGGTTTATCCAGTATAAATAATAAATATAAACATATTTATATGTGGCACACACAGATACACACACTGACACACATATACATTCATTAAAAGCTTCAGTTCATCTTGTCAACAAGATATATTTAACGATGAAAAAATATACATGTACATCTAAATTGTCATTAGTAAAGGAAGCTAAGTACTTCCCTCATTTATATGTACAAAACAAAACCCAGAGAGTAAAGTCTTTGATAGGCATTTAGTAAGTTGGAAAAACTTGAAGACATGAAACATGATTACAACAATCATTGTTATTCGATAATTGTGCATGTATATAATTAGCTTGGAACTGTTTCAAAAAGAAAAGAGTTGTTAACCATAAAATATTTCATGTCTTCAAGACTCCTGCTCAGCTGAATTCTTCTGGAATATCATATTAAATCCAAACAGCCTTACAAGGCTTAACATGAACAAACAAAAGAAGAAATTTCTAAACAACATGTACCCTCATTGCAAGTACAACTTAAAGATGCCATGACATTGTATGTCAACTAAATATCTTGTCATTAGTTTTCATTGTCAACAGCCACTAACATATATCAGCATTTTTCTGCCTGAGAGTGAAGTTCAATATGCAACACAAAATACATTCAAAAATGTCGCTTTATCCTCAACATTTTCTATCTTAAAAAAACCCACCATATATATCTTACTGATTGAACGTCAACCTTATCATGTAACCCAAGATCAAACTTCAAATATGGCCCAAGAATGTAACATATTCAGACTTACTCAATCACCAGAACCGGAAAACTACAGCTCACCTGGATATGTTGTCAACAGTTTACAATGGAAACAGAGACAGGTATTTAACTAAGTATGGGCAATAAATGTCATTTTATGGGCCACTGATAATTCCATACATTATAGAAATATTAAATTCATCACACAAAAAGCATCTGCCTTCAATATATGGACATCATCTGTGCTATCTGCCTGTATTTGTGATCAACAAATGTAAAAATAACATTTGTTTGAAAAAGTGTTCCCTCTCCATATGCTTTCATCTTTTTTGAGGAGTCATTTCATCAACAAATATTGCCAAACTTACAGTCCACGGACAATCTGTCACTTCCAAATTGGCCACTCAATCATATAGCATAAATTTCCAAGGAACCTGTCTTTGTTCATTGTGGTCCTCCAAATTGTGTTCCAGGAATATTAAGAAAATATCTTTCTTCAAAGTCACAAGGCACTGTTTGCTGAAATACTGGCCATTGTTGACAATGATGAAAAAATGACACTTTATAGATCCCTGCACTCCTAATTGTAGCATATATACCAAGCACACATTAAACTGGAATCTGTATCAATAGTCACACACCAATGCATACTCATGTCTTTGTAAACAAAGTGTGCAGTTTCTCTGGACACAAATAGGCCATCAATATTGAACAATTAAGGCATGTAACACAAATCTAAACTAATGCAAATATGGCTGTTTGCTGTCTAAGTTACTACATGAACTGATGTAAATTGTTCCTTCTATGGCTGCATTGTATCATTCAAAGTCAAACGAAACTTACCATATTTTCTTGTGTGTAGTGAAATTTATTTTTCATTGTTGTATCTATCACAGTTGTTTGGAAGGAGTGCTATTTGGTTAGTTTGTATTTTACTGATGGGTAGCACCCTTATGATTTGCCTAAAACTTGGAGTGTAAAAATGCAATGAGAGTCATTTTATCTGCATGTTTTAACACATTTTGAGTCACATTTTGTGACTTAAATATGTTCTCCTTTCAACGTATACAGCCTTGCAATGTTGTATGTCATCTTTTTAAAGCCATAAGAAGCTTTGACTCCCATCCTTTAAAATGTATGAGAAGGGGTACAACCCCCATTGACCCAAAGCACATTTTTATTATTGTTGTTAATATTAAAATATCTGACTGACTGACTGACTGAGTTTAGTTTTACGCCGCTTTTAGCAATATTCCAGCAATATCACGGAGGGGGACACCAGAAATGGGCTTAACACATTGTGCCCATGTGGGGAATCGAACCCGGGTCTTCGGCGTGACGAGCCAATTAAAATATCTGATTTATTGCAAAACTACCCCTCAATAGAAAGGATTTGGACTGGGGATGCTTTGAGGTGTGCAGTTTGCATATAAGAAACTACATTTCTGGGAATAAATATAAAAATAACTGAATCAGACAGCCCCATGAATAGAGTTGAAATGGTAAATAAAATAGATTTAAAATAAGAGTGTTTTCATAAACACTTGCCATAAAAATGCATGCTGCACTATATTTTGTTAACAAACATTGAAAACTCTCAATGTCACTGGGCTTACTCAATAGCAATGGGTGTAGAGATGACAGATCACTGAGAGGAGATTATGCACATTCAATGATCTCAACAATAGGCATTGTTTCAGAGTGTTTTTGCAAGAAACGTTCACAAATTAAATCATATGGTTGCATTGTTTTGCTTTCACTTACATTGTAGATAAGATTGTTGGGTGGGGAATAGAAGTTGGGTGGGGAATTTGATATATTGCATCAATGCATACTTGTATTTCTGGACTTCGAGTTTTAATCTATTCTGTTGAATTTACTCAAAATTTTATTCCGTATTGTTAACATTAAATTCAGCAAAATTGTGTGTGCAAGCTATCAGCAATGACCCCATGAAACAAACTTTAGTTGAGAGAGAATGGATATATTGACTCGTTAATAGTAATGTTTGTTGTAGTTTGACTCTGATAGATCAACATGTTTTCGTGATCGTGAGACTCAATGGTGACTTGACAAACATATCCATACATATAAACAAATCCGACAACAGAGATCAGCTGAACAAAAGTGCTACGCATCATATTATTTCAAATATATTCATTAAAATATGGTATACAAACATAGTATACATGATTACTGGGTGAAGACAGCAGCAGGCAGTTAGAAGGCATGTAAGTCCCATCTATTTCATTTAAGCCCTGCTTTTCATTATACCTGCTTGTGGATGACAACAATTTTTTTCTAGCAATTTAAGATTAGGATTAAGCTGCAAAGCCAAGAAAGTCTTCTGAAGTGAATGCTATTTGATGGGTTTATACTTGGGACACAGAGGTGAACATAGAATTTGAACAAAAATATGTGACTTTCTTTACATCCTTGTACACATACATGAACATCAGTGTATTAGCATTTGGTGGAGCAAGCAATAACGTGCATTTGACTTCATATAAATATATTGATTCATCATTCATTCTATGCAATTGGCAACTATTTATATTGTTTCTGCCACACTGCATGAATTGTGCCATACTGCCAGGAGATCATTTGTGCAGAAGTCTCAATTCAGTGGCCAGTTAAATAAACAAAAAATGTCATATTGTTGAATAAATAATCACTGCCTCTGATACCACACCAATTCACATAGATTGTACAAAGTGTGTGTGTGTGTGTGCACGTATGTGCGAACATGATTTTTTTTGTGTGTGTGTGGGGGGGGGAGGAGAGAGAGAGAGGAGAGAAGAATCTCTGTATGTGACCCCCTGTGTTTGTGAAAAGAGGTATATAGGCATGTATGTACCAAATGCACAGAATATTGTGGGTGAACCCAATGATCACTGTTTCGTTATTTCTAGGAGAGATGGGTTTTTCTCAATGATGGTTAGGATGATCTTGTCAACATACTGCTTCAATCTCAAGTTGATTTCCTGTTCTTTCTTCAGCCTCTCAAGCAGCTGAAATAGACAAAATGTGAGTTAATAGCAACAGTGGCAGAATTGAAAACCAGGAATCTGTCCCTTGGGTTCAGTTGTTCATTACTGTAAATACTAGTCCTTAAAGGAGTAATCATGCATGGTATAAAAGAATCACTTGCTATCCTTGAATGGAAAGTTCTCAACATTTCATTTGCCATTTTGCCAGCGAAAACATCTAACTTGTTACATGCTTTGTCAACATTCTTGAGCTATAAAAATGATTACGAAGGCAAGGTTAGAAACGAATCAAAACAGTGGAATGAAGAGGCTCAAACAGGGTGAGAATGTGTGCAAAATGGTAACAGGTTTAAGTCTAGTGCCATAACAAAAAGAATGCAACTTGTTCAATAACAAAAGGGTGCAAAAGCAATATAGCTCACCTGGAAATATATTCAACAATTAGCATGATATTAAAGACTGCCACTTAACAAATTTAGCTGTTAGCATTGCTGTTTAAAATCTAAAAATTGACATGCTGATCCAAATATTCAAATTTGTTTAAATATTTATTGAGTGTGGCATTTATAGGAGTTACATTTAGGTAACAGTTGTAACAGCTCACCCAATTAATACACATAAATAGAACCAGGGTACAGAACTTCCCCTTATTGAGTGATATACTGTATTTTCTTGTGTATTGTGAACGTTTCTTTCACTGAAATTTCATGAAATATCTAAACTTTTTCTAATTATATAAAAATAATGCTTAGCAACCAACTCATAGATCACTTGACATCATTAGATGTCCAAAGAACTTACATTCACAATATATTGAGCATATATCAAAATATATAGGGGTACTTTATATTTCATAGTTGTGCTGCATTGTCAATATTTTTCCAAACATGAAGTGTTCATATAAAACTGAAAGTGCATCTAGCTTTGTAATTAAAATAGCTAGAAGCATGAGAATTTCTGTGTCTATTTGTTTTCCATTGGGTACCATGTGTTTTCCAAAATGTAAGCTATGCAATTGGTGTCAAAACACCTTGACTAAAATGAGTCATTAAACTAATGCAAGTAGTCCTTCATTTGAAGTACCACTACTAATAACGTGTATAATAACACTGAGATTGTAGACATAGAACTCCAAGATATTGTATGTGTTGATAAAAAAAATGAATGATATTTGCTATCTTCACAAAATTAACTTCAACTGCCGGGCATAAAATAAAAAGTAATAGATTCCAATTGTGCATGTTCAAATGTGACTGGTTGCTTAACCAAGGAGGATTGTACAGGACATTCTCATTAACTTCATCATTTACAGTAGCCATAATCCTTTCTGTTTTGCTGATGTTGGGGATACAAACACGTGAGGCTGATGATTGAAGCATTTAAACCTCAAAGGAGTTTGAACATCTCTAGATGAAGCGTAAACTCCTTCCATGCAGTGTGCCCAGGGAAAACATTTGCCAGGTAATTGGTCATACCAGGTATGTCAATTAACTGACAAAAATGTTATGTCTAAAAGCAATCTAAATGGATCACTGTGGTTTTCTGTGGATATTATTCAACTGGCATGTATGAGAAGATACTGCCAGGTCTTGATGGCTAAGGTGCTAGCCAGGTATTTGGGATGCATGACTCATTTGACCAATGGTCTTCTGGATACAGGTGACTGTTGAAGAAATTGTTTAAGAGACTCAGAGATGAGGAAACAAGGACTGATCTGCTAGTGCTGGAAGATCAGGCCAGATCAGGCAATCCTAAATTTGAAGTAAAACCAGAGGTTGCAAGTGGAGTCATCTTCCTCTGGTGAAGTCGAGCATGGATGTTAGAAGTCACATCAACACCTGCCAATAGTTTCTGCTTGAAATACTGAGCCACCTGCTCAAAGGAGCTACATGTGTATTCTGCAACAAGTTAAACTGACTCCAATGGAAATGTAGTGACTGTGATGGGATGAGACAAAGTTGATCACCAGTTTTGACAGGGAGTCGTAAATCTGACTTGAGCTACAAACAGTACCATGCATACCAAACTGGAACAATGAATCTTTCTGAATGGGGTAAGTCCAGTGATGTTAACTAGCTCCTATTCTGTATGTGTAGACACAGCTGAGAACAAAATGTAGGTATTACCAATGTTAATACCTAATTACCTAATATTAATAATAGCTGACTGAAGGAAATGCTTCAATCATCAGGACCATTATGAGCCTTTCATAACTAGAACAAAACCAGTTCTGGAGAGACAGCATCAACCTTAATTTCTTCCATCAGTTTCTGTTCCAACTGGATGACATTTTCCCAAATAAATATGAGATAATCTCGCAGGTGTAACATTTCAAAGGATGGGACAAGATTGTGCATTCAATTACAGGCCATACCCAAAGCCGGGGGTGTTGACCAACCACTTGTATTGGAAGAGACAATGGAAGACTCTGCAAGTGGTTAAGTGTAAGATGCCAGCAATGCTACATATTGCCATTTGTCACAATGTCAAGGCTTAAAAAGGGCTTGAGCAGGCTCAGAGTAAATATGCCCACCCCAAGAATGCAGTACCCCTTTTAGTCCTGGAAGGCAAAAGGCTTCACAGCTGCATGACAACCGGACATTATCGAAAAGCCTGCAGTGAATGGATGTAGCCTGTGCCTCAGATCCAACAAGTGTTCGGTGATAAAATCTGTAAATTCAGATCTGGGTGGCTGCAGCAACAAAGTTAAGAGAGGTAGGCTAGTCTTTGATAAAGCCTAAGCATTAAGTAAGAAGAAGACAGTACTTTCTGTTTATGATGTAGTCTCCTGAAGGAAGTCAGCTCCTGCCCTAATGAGAGCCAAGTGTTCCAATACAATGTTGTGGTCCACCATTACCAGGACATAGACTTCGATGTGAAGTTGTTAAGAACAGGACACATTAAAGAGTTAAGAATCCAAAGGACAGGATGCAGTCGGGAAATGCAACCAATAACAGGCTAGGTTTGGTCAATTTGAAGCAGGAGGGAGGTATTACATTAGAGGTGTGGTTGTGCGAATGGTTTCACGCTGTGCTATGAGTGACAAAGTAAGGCAAATTCCATACTGTCATAGCAGAAATATTTACATGTTATTCAAAAACAGTATGGTTTCAAAAATAAAATTTTAACTTCAGACTACATTTTACATGTGTGACAGCCTATTAAAAATTATGGAATGATCTCATGAGTGTGACAACACTAAAAAAAGGAAACTGCACTTAAGTACAGACAACAGCTGTCACAAATAGTATATTTTGAAACACAAGTACAACCATACGGTGCTATTTGCTTGTATGAAATGGGCAATAAAATAACTAGACTTATCACAGATTTATAGCTAAAACTAGCATAACACCCTCAAAGGATATCACTATACACAACAAGGCATTATACACATGAGCCGTAGATTTACCAGCCACCATGCCAGGGACCACAGGGACTTTCAGTACCTTTGCTAACTGCAAGGTATCGATGGCAGGATTTACACTATCCCTTAAGTTGCTGACAACTGTTTGCAAGTTTAGCCAACAAAAACAAAATTAATAGTAAACAATTAAAATTGTCGCAAATATAATATACCATGAATGAAGTGGCACTATGTACCCTCTCAGGAAGACATTTACTTTACACTACTTTAACCCCCATAAAGGAGAAAACCACTAATAATCTCTCTGGTGCTTGTATAATTTAAAAGGAATTCATTTTATACAGTTTATATTATTCAGAATTTATGAACAATTCTACTAATTTTTACAAAAACAAATAATTAAATGACTACCAACATTGTTAAAACAATCCTTTATTGATGATGATCTCAAATATTTATCCCTTGTGATGAATGACCTTTTAAACAAACATATTACGATCCTATTTGAAGTTGATAGCATAACATCATGGTATTAAAGTTTGCCATCTCTTAAACAGCATCAGCTGAGCATGAGCTCTAAATTGCTGAATGGATGCTGTTCATAGATACTACCAGATCAAAATGGGCTGAATAAGTTAATCTATTCTTGATGACTTGGAGTAACATATAGTCTTGGATGTCTGTGAAGAGCCTGGGAATACTAGCCGAGTATATGCCTTTGGGTTTAGATGATATGAGTGTGGTTAGTAGCAATCTCTTACCTGCTTTCTAAAATCTTCGTCCACAATATTCTAATCAAAAGAACAAGGAGATATGAAGAGACAGAGTGCCAGATTGGTACAAATCTCAGGCAATCAGGAATGCAATGGGTTCTCTCAGAAGAAAGTCTTATGAAATGCAGAGTTTTCGCTGATAAAAGCATCTTGACAATGCCTTCTGTTAGATTTAAACATGGGTGTGAAAGTTGAGTATGTTACCAACACATTACCTCTTCCTTTGTCAGGTGCTCTAGTTCCTCTGCAAGTGTTGTTCCACTAGTATCTCGCAGCAATGACCTGCCCTCCTCCATACATCGAGTTAGTAGCTGAGCATTTAAGTCTTCATTGGAGTCTTTCAGGATCTTGTTCTCCTGTAACAGTTCATGGCATGTGAGAAGCTGATAAGTGGTAGCATTATTATTGAGAGAAGTGAAATGATTTGTGTCACTGGCTATATTGAGAAAAGAAACAGACAAGTTCTCACAAATACAAATATTTTGATGTACAAGTAACACGCCACATGGTGCAAATTGTTTGGAATAAATTGAATCTCATCTGCAAAGTCAGTGCAGACAATTCTTTAGGCTTGCCTATATTTCATATAAAATATTAACTTTCTAGTTAAATGGTCCTAACTTATTACTATTAAATACATAAGGATTACTTGTAATTAGTTACAAATTATAATCATTTGTAGTTATAGTCCGTTTGACTTCAGTTTGGACCGATGAAAAACCAAATCTACCAGCAATTGGTCCTCCCTCGTAAGAAATAGCGAAACTTAACAACAAAATAATGATCATTTGTTAAACAACTTTTTTATTCGGGTGTCCAAAATTATGAGACAAATCATCAGAGTTGGTCTGTCGATTTCATGTGACTGTGCAAAATTTGGTTTTGTTGCAATTATTAGATTTTGTGTTAGTGAGCAATTCATCGGTCCAAAATGAAGTCAAACGGACTCCATTTGTATACTTAAATATATTAGCGAACGCATGAATTACTTTGCTATATTGTGTTACTTGCTGGTAAGGCTCACTGATCATTGTATCCCCATTTTGTAGATTGATGCTTAATCTGTTAAACGGTATAGGAATCTATACCAAATCTATACTGAAACGTCATATCATAACATAATGAATTTGCAATCCATAAAGTATCCTATCTTTCTTAATCACTGAACTGTCTGGACCCAATTCATATATTTACAGTCCACTATCCTATTGCTCAGTGCAGAATTAAACAAACCAAAAACACCATTTCTGCAGATACATAAGCATATTTGATTATAACCTCATCATTATGAATAGAAATAAAGACACAAGAAAACTTTGTTGTAAGGCTACATTTGAGCACAGTATCCTATGCAGAACAGTCATTCACAACTAAGAGCAAACACATAATGTTTGTGATATACTGGCACATTGGCACTGTTTCCCTATGGTAACAGGATCTAAATATATACGGGTAGTCCCTTCTGGCCCCACTTGATCAGATGGTTCAGTAAACAATCTTGTTTAGCCTAAATGGTATATATCTTAAGTTACTGTAAGCATAATAAACTAGGCACATAATGAAACTGTGCATACAAAAATTTTAAATCTAAATTTATCAAACCTGTGTTGACACATAAGGATGTAAACTCAGAGATTAGTGACATGTATCCAACATGCATGCACGTGCCACGTTCCGTGACATCAGTGGGTTCGTCCTTGAGATGTGCAATACGCTGTTGCACGTGCATTCCGGGAAAGAGAAACAGAGCAAATGAATGCCACACAAAACTGTCACTTTGGAAAGCTCAACCCCTGCCCTTGCGATCGTTCAAAAAATTAAACGGCTATTGGAACACATAGCATGCCAAGGCTCACGTCTGCACAACGTCATGAGGCCATTGGGATGGTCCGTGGGGGAATGTCTCAACGACAAGTGGCTGCACATTTCCACTGCCACCGGAACACCATTTCTGCACTGGTGAGACGCTACCAGAACACAAATGACGTCATCGATTGGCCACGTTCTGGACGCCCGCGTGTAACAACGCCAAGACAAGACAGGTGGATAAGGGTGACCCATCTGCGCCACAGGTTTCTAACTGCAGTGATGACTGCCGGAACCATCCCAGGACTTCGCCGTATCCACCCCAACACAGTTCGACAACGTTTACGTCATCACGGGATCAGACCACGACGTCCCGCCATACGGCCTATCCTGACACGTCATCGACAAGCTCGCCGAATGTGGTGCCGAAATCATGTCGGCAGACCCTTGTGTTGGTGGAGAAATGTTGTTTTTACAGATGAGTCCAGGTTTAACATTTCCCATAGTGATGGACGTCAATGTGCCTATAGACGCGTGGGAGAATGTTATGCACAGGCCTGTGTCTTGGAGAGGAATCGCTTTGGTGGTGCTTCCGTGATGATTTGGGGTGGAATAACAGCACGCCAAAGAACTCCTTTGGTGATTGTTCAGGGCAACTTAACTGGTGTGGGCTACAGGGATCAGATCCTTCGACCTGTGGCAATTCCTTTTCTGCAACGTCATGGCCCTGGGTTAACATTCCAACAGGACAATGCCCGCCCTCATAAGGCAAGGGTTGCTATGGATTTCTTGCAACACCACAACGTTGACTTACTGCCTTGGCCTGCAAATTCACCGGATTTCTCCCCGATAGATCATGTTTGGGACGAGATGGATCGACGTCTACGCCGTCTTTCTCATCCGCCAGATAACGTCCTTGACCTTGCAACAGAACTTGAGAGAATCTGGCGTGACATCCCACAAGCCTTCCCTGCACGTATGATAGGCTCTATGCGTCGTCGATGCACTGCTGTTCTCACTGCCGATGGTGGACATACCCGTTATTGAGCTTGTGACATGGTCGTTTGACCCCTGTCCCGCTTGTGGACTCGTGCCGTCATTGTGATTGACTTTTCAATTGAAATTCTCCCGACTTGTTATGGTCTCATGATCCCTCCATTAAAGTTTATATGTACCTTTGACATTGTTATCGTACTTATCAACTGGGATAATATTTTGACAATGCACAGTTTCTTTATGTGGCTAGTATACATTATTGAGTTTGTCACATTCAATACAAGTTGCAAGTAAAATATTCTTAGAACATTCGGAAGTGCTATTCAACATATAAACCAAATGTTATGTTCCAAGACAAATTTTCAGTCAACATGAAAATATTGCATGCTACCATATTTTCTTTAATAACTACATCAAATTCCTTCATTGACTTCAGGTATCAATGTCTCATAAACTAAGCTGTGTACATCTTTCTTCCCAATCTACCAGTGATTCAGTTAAAACAAACCTAATAAAATAATGTAAAACAAATTTGATGCAGTGATCGGAAAAATTATATCTTTTACTATGGTGTCCTCTGGATTAAAACCTCCCTTTACTTATGTTGCAAATTTCAATAAAAGTATCGAAGAACATTCACTGTGAACATATATTACTGAAGAATGTGAATATTCATGTATTTTCTAGCGTGTGTACTAATCCTAAATGTTCAGATCACTTGACACAAATTACATCCTTGACATATAGTATGACTACGATTATTGTTTCAAATGTCAACTGATGACCATTCAATGTCAACTTATCTAACAAATGTCAGAAAAAATCTGTTATCTAATATGTGTGGGTGTATGCACAAGCAAGATAACATAACATCTTTCAATGCATCACTCTCATTAGCTAGGACATTTTGAGAAGTTTGACAGATTAATTCCTGATAAAATAGAGATTACTAACCAGATTGTAACCAGTGATAATTACATGTGGCTTGAGATACCTGTAATGAGGAAGTGACCTGTATTGGTGTAATGTGTAGTGTCAACACTTCCGCTATTGTTACATAATTTGCCGATGAATAAGTTCAATGGATATCAATTAGTGTCATGGAAATTAGTGTTCATTTGTCAATTAATTTTATGAGAGATGGCTAAATTGTTGTTATATTCTGTCTTGTTATGATGAATGCTACCCGAAGACAATAAAGACGTCAAGAGATATACGTTTTCTGTCTTTTATTAAGTTCTCAAAAGTAGACATGGTCAGACTGAAATGCATCATTACAACAATGCAAGAAGAGTACAGACACATTTTTCGCATTAATAAAATGTTTGCATTAATTTCATGATTTACAGTAATTATACACAATGATAACTACTGCTTGATAGTTCACTCAAATACCAAATTAGGTATTTTGTCTCATGTTTTAGTTCTTCCAGATGGGTGTGAATGTCAAGCAATGGTTTGAGAATCTGTTATGTATCTCAGAGCTCACTTTCACTGAAAGTATTGCTTTTGGCTGAAGAGATCAAATGCCATTGACTGATTTTTGGTAAGGGACCAGAAAGATATTGTGTTCCCGTCTAGTGCATGCATTATTGAGAAAATATCAATGATGTGTAGCTCTGAGGACCAGCCGCAATTGCCACAAATGCAATAATTCTTGAGAAACTGATTGAAAAACTTTGGTCAATCATTGCTGTCATGGATTAAGTGATCATTTCTGTACTAAGTGACAACTCATTAAGTTAAAGAGGTTGTATGACATTGGGTCTCGGTCGCTTCACTCAAGTCTGGAAAATCCATGGTAGCTTCCTGGGCATGGATGCATATCAGTAATCTCTCTCAGCCCAGCGAGGTATGTCTGCTAATTTCTCAATACACGGTACCTGCATCCAATGCATTTTGGTAAACCCCAGGAAAATTATTTCTTTTCTCTGACATTCTACTGGATTTGGAAATGAAGTCACATTAACTTTGAGTCCCCTTTACTGTAAGAGGTCTGCAATCATTTGTATTTAAAAAGAATCTGAAAAAAAGAATCAATTTTTGCTAGGAAAAAAAGAAACAGGAAAAAAAGAATCAGTTCACACATTTATTGGTGGAATAATGAACCAATATCATAACCAATATAATCTATATGTATAATATAATACATGTATAATCATATAGCAATTTGCAGAATGTGTTACATAGTTACTTCAGTCTATAAAGTCTTATATTCTGCTCAACGCCAGTTAAAAAGTGTTCCAACCAGATTTGCAAATTTATTGTTCCATCCTTCACAGGCATTGTTTGTATGTGGATCTCCGTTAATCCCTTAACAATATCTCTTCCACTCTGCTGTTGTGTTTTTATAAGCTGATGCTTTATACCAATTATACATGATTGGAAGTCAGTTAATCCCTTAACAATATACTGACTAAGCTTTTTCATAAGCTGATTCTTTTTTTCCGTTTCTTTTTTCCTGATTCTTTTTTTCCTACAATTGTACAGATGCATTATGATGAATTGTCACTTGTATACATGGCTGTAAGATATCAAATGGGCTGCTGCCACC